CTCCACGACTTGTGGGTGTGCTGGGCAGGACAGATATCCTGGGCTCTTCCAGGGGCACAGTACAGCAGCTCCAAGCTTTTGGAACGGGCTGGACGTGGGAGAAATGCTAAGGCGTTCAGCTCAAACAAGACAGCTGTCCCCCTGAATGTGTGCAGTGGCAAACTTTGGAAATCCAAGTATGTTTCCTGCTTAAAACTTTGGTGTCTGCGTGGTTAAATTGAGATTACTTGGCTGGCTGTCAGCAATGTGTTTCTGCCTAGATTTTGCTTTAGATTTTAGCACTCCCTGAGAAATCGGTATAGGAAATGAGCAAAGGGATCCAGGAAGTCACAGGCTACCAGCTTGCTCTGGGCAAATCAGCCTGGCAGTTGCAGAGCTAGCTGGAGGAGCCAGGAGAGCGAGGGCTCAACGGGCCATCCAGCTGGCACCATGTCAGGGATGCAGGAACACGCAGGCAGGATCCAGAAAACCCTGGCAGTGCAAAAGATGAGCAGCAGTTCAGTGATGCCAAGGACTTGCTGCCTCCAGCTGGCTTACGCCGCATAGCTGGGCTGCTCGCGCACAGGAGCGGTGGGGAGACCAAGGCCAAGCAAGGTCTCTTGCGTAGGTTCCTAGATGTCTGGAGAGCCCAGCCCGATGCTCCCTGCCAAGTCATGGCAGCGAGAAGACTGTCCTGCAGCTCTTCCGCAGTCCGTCCCTGCCTTGGCGTGCCCCAGCCTGGGAGCACGATGGTGATTTTGTGTTGCCTGCAGAGCCAGCGCTGCAAAGCACCTCCAGGCAGAGCAGTGTATTCTGGGCACACCACACCCTGGGCTGCAGGCTACGCCTTCGGAGATAATTAACAGTCATTACTTAAGGGTGCAGCTTTTAGTTACAAAACATGTAAGGGTTTTCAAATAATTCAGTTCTGAAGAGAAAGAAACACTCCTTTCAGAGGAAAATACAGTTGAAATTAATTGGGGATAGAAATTGAGTCCTGTCCAAAAGTCAGTAGGACCCATGGCAGACTTGAAAAAGCTATAGAATTTTCTGCTTTTCTTGGAAAAGCAGCCCATCTCTTACCATAGAAGGCACATAAATTGCTATTAAATTATATAGAAGGTGCTGAAATACTTCTGTTTTCTTCAGGGGAAATACAAAATAGCTATCATACGTCACGTAAAAAGAAAGGTGCTTATAAAATAATATGTGCTTTGAAGTTGTTACAGAACTGGAAATTGCTTTCTGTAATTTTTCCTATTTTTTTCCCAATGTGCTCCATCTGCATTTTCTTCCCTAGACGTGGGACAGTCCATAAACATCAGTGAACCATTTGGCTGTCCTTATCCTGAAAAACCTTTTTACTGCGCCTAAAAACAATACGTCCTCGCAGTCGGGTTGATGTGCTGAGATCATTGACCATCTGGTAGCTGCTTTTTTTTTTTTCCCTTCTTATCCTGAGCCCATCTGCTTGCTGCTGTCCCGATGCTGTCCTTCCCTGGTACTTGGCTTTTCTGGGCAGGAGTCTGTTCTTTGGTTTTGGCTTATACTGTTTGGAAACTGTTAGTCCTGATCTATGACTGAAGGATTAGGCCAAAGCCAAAGGGCGTCAGAAACGTGCCGTAAAGCCTGTTATGTTCCGTCCTTATGTTTGGTCTTTCGCAACCCCGGTGGCCTGGCTGGAGTGGGGGAACTAGAGGAGCCAAGGCAGAGGCCGTGCCGTGTTAGAAGCCCAGCTGTTATTCACACAGGCCCTTGCCAGCCTGGGTGGGAAAGGTCAGGGAAGCTGGAGGAGATTTATTTGTCAAATACCAGCCATTTTTATCTGGATAGTGTGATCCAACAATCAAAACTTGGAGAAACACTGGCTTAGGCACTAGCCCAGCAAGCATGATGAATGAACGCAATAACAAGGGAGAAAAAAGTTCAGGATGTGCCTGAAGTTACATAAAGTGAGTTAGGCTGCCGTCTCCTGCCAACTCATTTTTGCAGGGTAGTTCAATAAAGAAGTTTTTCTGGGATTATGCTCTTTAGAAGATGAGAAAAGGGGTAAGAAAACTTCAGGGATATTTTTTGCTGGTAGCACAACATCCCATGAAGGACACTGGAAATAGAAAACCTGCTGTTTCCACAAAGAGAGCTTCTCAGTAGCTGTCTGTGACTTTCTAAGCATATAGTTTTGCCCAAGATTTAGTTCTGGTTTAGCCCAAATTGAGCGGTGGGCCCCTCTTGGGCTAGTACTAAATGCACCAAGATCCATTTTCAGCTCTGAGATAAAGGTTCATATGGCTCGGAAGTGTGGGTGCCACGCTGTGCATCGCTTTTGGGGGAGATGAGCAGGTTTCAACAGGATTCTGGAGGAAAAATGATCTTTTAAAATGTATCTTATCTTGCTGCTCTCTCTTCTTCCTGACTCTTCCTTCAGGCTCCCTCTGGTGTATGCAGTGTGTGTTACTACCACCTTCTCTGGTCCCGTTGTTGGTCTAAATTTACAGCAGCCCAAGTTGCGTGACACCACTGACATTTTTTAGGTTCATGTAAGGCTGAGATGTAAATAGGACCTTTCAGTTCTGTTTAAATATGACAGTTAACTCAACTGGGATTTTTCTGCTTTAGTCTACTACCATCTAGGGAATTGAGAATTCCCTTCCCCTGAAGCCATATATTTCTGCCCGGTAAATGAAACGATGCCCGAGGACAGCCACCAAACAGTTTGCCTGTGCCAACTATCCAACTACAGCAGGTCTGGCTGTGGGAATTGTAAGCAGCAAATCCTAAGCATCATTGCAAATAATGCGCTTGGGCTGCTATCAGTTTATTCCAGTAGTGTTTACTCCTCTTTCCAGTCCTGCCTAAAAGGGAAAGACAATTGAAATTAGAGTATTAAGAGGTGAATTATGGTTTTAAAAGCTAAGCCATGCTTTTGTATGTGACTCTTATAGAAGTGATATCCTGAGGCCATTCTCATGTTACAGTAATTACACGCAGAAAACCGGTCCCCGGCAGGACTCAGCAAGCTAATGCCACCCACGAGTTTGAGCCCAAGTTTCAGTTCCTCCATGGATTCCCCCTGCTCCCCACCAGCAGCCTGTTGCACTCGTTTTCTGCCATTCTGCCACAAATCCAGCCCGCGGGGTGAAATGGTTTGCAGCAATACCCAGTTTTGGCAATGTGGAACAATTTGCTGAGCAGGGCTAAGTCTGCTTCCCCCCGCTGAACGCTGCGGAGGCTAACTTCCAGGCACCAAGCTATTTTTGTGACTTTATCACGTGAAAATAGCGTTTCCTCTCCCTTTAAAATGGCTGGAAGGAAGGAGTTGTTAAAGAATGGGTCCATACATGCCAAACGTCCTCTTCGTGGCACCAGCAGCCATCCGCTTTCTGCGCTGGGAGCAGCCTGTCTTTTTGGGACAGGCAGAGGTGTGCTCAAGCTGCCACCAAGGCTGTCCAAAGGGGACAGATGGTGACAAGGTGGTGGATGGTGTATGTGGGCATGGTGGCAAGCTGGGATGTAGCCTCTGAAGTGAGTCCAAAGCCCGGAGTTGGGCCCTGTAGGCTAACAGCAGCCAGAGGACAAGGTGGGATATAGAAAAGGTCAAAGGGAAAAAAAGACACAACTGTTCTTGTTATGTTGATCTTTTTAATTTTTTTTATAATTTCCTGGAATTATTTTGTTCTTAAGAGTATATATATTTTAATGGTATCCTCTTCCCTTAAAATTCAAATGATTGATCTCAGATCTTTGTGGGAGTTCTTAGACTGATTTCAATAAGCTTTTTCATAGTCATCATCTTTATTATGAAAATCTATGTCTTGAGATGTTATGTACCCCAGTGGCAGCAAACCTGCTGTGCAATTCAGTGGATTATAATGCAACTCACTAACGTGCTTGAAATAATGAGGTTGCTCTGTTCAGTGGGGTATGATGAAAAATAGAAGCTACTGCTGGGAGCTCAGATTTGATTTAAATTCCTGGCAGAAAAGGTTCCCTATTAAAATACCATTGCAGGTTGCTATGTTTGTGTGTTCCTTAACTTCCATTTCATGATGGACAATGAGGAGGCTAGAAGAGATATTTTTCTTACCTGCTGTAAGTACGTTAAATTGAGGGCTTGCACCCTTCTGGTGCTGTTGGAAATAAACGTTGGATTCCACTAGACTAAACTTGGAGAGAAATGGTGGCTGTGCTGGAATTAGCGGGGGACCTGAGCTTTGGGTTCAGTAGCACTGATCTTGCCCTGAGTGTCATGGTTCTCAGGTCTAACCTCCTTCCCGGCACCCTCTACCTCTTTCTTCGTACGGGATGAGAAGCTGAGTTGGTCCCTCCCTGTTCTTTGCCTATCTGGAAGTGGAGGCGAGGATACGGATTTCTTTCCTTTAACTAATGGGAAACCTTTATAGCTGCCCTTGAGCTTCAGTCTCTCCCGTCCATCTCTTGCCTTCCCAGTTTAATTGGCAGACCATCTTTCTATAGATGATTTATATGGTCTCATAACTTTATTTTCTACTTAGTAGTAGAAACTGGTTTGTCAGAAAAGAACTCTGAGTCAGTGAGACCTTTGGAGAAAAATCTATTGAGAGAAAAAGGTGCCAGTTTTACAGAGTTTTTTAGCCATTGCCTGAACCTAATTGGATCGTACAAACCCAGCATGTGAGATGACCTATATCCCTTTTAAAAGAACACTTTCCTCATAGCACTTAGACCTTGACAGAAACGCTAATGAATCCATAAAGTGTCTTAGCATCTGGCACAGGAGCCTTCAGGGCGTCAAGCAAAACAGGAGATAAATGGAAGTGCTCTGTGTACACAAGGTTGCAGAACTGGCTGCAGCTGCCAGTTAACCGGATTTTATAACCTCCAGAAGTCTATGTTATTTCAGCTTAAGGTTGATGTATACTTTGTTTGGACCAGTTTTCTCCTTTATAGATACCTATCTTTACAATTTACAAGGTGCAGTTTAAAGTAGCTGCTATGTCTTATTTGCAATTTAACCCAAGAGGGTTGATTTTCCCCTTTCACAGGGCCGGGGCGGCAAAGGAAGCATCTATGTCTGGGCCTCTGGAGATGGGGGCAGCTATGATGACTGTAACTGTGATGGTTATGCATCGAGCATGTGGACAATCTCCATCAATTCTGCTATAAACGATGGACGGACAGCGCTGTATGATGAAAGCTGCTCTTCCACCTTAGCTTCCACCTTTAGTAATGGAAGAAAGAGAAATCCAGAGGCTGGCGTGGTGAGTCCAGATATTATTGTGCTATTGCTGCTGTCTTTGTGCACTCCCACGACCTATTACAACTCTGTCGGCTTTGGAGCAGCAGATGGTCCTTTGTTGAGATGGATATTTTCTCATCTGCAGTACGTGATCGTGCCAAAACTGTCAGCTGAGGAGATGTGGGATTAATATTGAGAACAGCAATGATCTTCCATCTCTTAGAGCTTCATGTAATTGGTGCTTTCCTTTATCAGAAACTAGATTTAGAAGTTCAATCGCACTAAGTGTGACAAAAGGTCTCTGTAAAAACCTAAATAAGAAGTGTCGACATCTGAAATCATTCTTACTTGTACAGGCAGAGCAGTCATGAACCAGACTTCTGCTGTACTAGAAGCTGTACGGAGCAGAAAGACATTCAGTCACCTACAGAGGAAATGTGGGGGTTCCGATTTACCCTCAGACGTACAGTCTCATATTAAGCAGCGCGGAGCATCGTATGCAAGTCCTCTACAGGGCCGTACCTACTACTAGAAAATAGGCAGTTTCTGTTGAAGTGTAACTGGGATTCTCTTCCACTGTATCGATTGGTGCTCTTCAGCACCTTCAGATTAGCCAGGACACAGTGGACAATGCAGGTGTAATAACTCAAGGTCAGTCTTTGCCAAAAGCCTTGACGTGGTTTGGCCGCAGCCGGCAGCTGAGCACCACGTGCCGCTCGCTCACCCCCTCCCCCAGCAGGATGGGGAGGAGAATGGAAAAACAACGGCAAAGCCTCGAGGGTTGGGATAAGGACAGTTTACTGGGATGGCAAGGGAGAGGGAAACAATCAACAACAGTGCTGATAACAGATAGTAACAATGGGTGATAACAAATTGTCACAATGAGTGATAACAGAAAGCAATTTATGGATTCGAGGACCAAGACCAACCAACCGGACGGACGCTCAGCCTGTCCCGGAGCCACGCTGAGCCCGCCAAACCTGCCCCTGCCCGACTAGCCCCCTTTTATGGTGAGCATGATGTCATATGGTATGGAATCGCCCCTGGCCAGCTTGGCTCACCTGTCCTGGCTCCTTGTGAAAATTAACTCTATCCTAGCCAGAACCAGGACAAGCCTCTATACGTTTTCCTTGGCGCTGTCTCAAACCCCAAAGGCACGTTGTAGCATCCTAAATGACACCGTGCAGTAGCACAGGGAAAAATACTGGTTTCTGTCTTGATATCAGCTCTGTGCTGATATCAGCTGAGATGATCTGTGGCACCTTTGGTATTGTCACCATAAAAGGTACCTCTGAGGTTTTTTTCTGGTCTCTTTTGGTTTCTGGTCTCTTCTAGCGACTAATCTGCATAGAAGATAGCAGCCCAGTACTACTATTGGTTCTGGAGTTGCACAAATGTTAGAAGGCTCAATACTGTTAACAATTCCAGTTTCAAATTCTTCTGATAACCACAAGGGAATTTAAGGCCTTTGATTAAACTGTGTTTATAGGAAATAAATGACATCTATATGAGTTCACAAGTTCTAGGTGGTAATGAACATTGTTTTACTACAGCATGATTTATTCTTCCATTAACACCTCCTGTAGCTATGTCTCACTCTGTTTTTAAATTAATACACTATTCTAAAGAAAACAGATCCTAGGAACAAACACACAATTACTCTGGAGAGCAAGGGCACAAACTCCACTTTCTGTATTTTTCTGAGTCTGTAGCTGCAAGGAAATTGGACTAGCTTGTCTCATTAATTACGTCTAATATCATTGCAGGCTACAACGGATTTGTACGGCAACTGCACCCTGCGTCACTCGGGAACATCTGCAGCTGCCCCTGAAGCAGCCGGAGTGTTCGCCTTGGCCCTGGAGGCTAAGTATGCTGTTGAGAAATTCCTTGTGAGCTCTAGGGAGGAGAGGGCCTGCGGTTTGCTTAATGTTGCTCATCACACGAGTTGGCTGTCCGTGGCACGGGGCTCGGGCGAGCAGCTACCAAGCCGCCCGCTGCAGTAGTGACACGCACGGTAACTTACAGATGGAGCAACAGTCTTGCCAAAGCTGTATAGCAGATACGTTTTGGCTGACTCGCTCTCTCCGTGTCCTCTCTGTCCATTGCTTCCAGGGGTTTGTCTTCTCCAGCACTGTTTGGAGGGAGAGACTCTTTCATTTCTCCACATATCCAGTGTGGAATGCCCAGCCTACAAAAACATAAGAACAAACCTATAGTGTCAGACAGGAGTTCATCTCATGCCACATCCTGTCTGCAGTGACAGATGCTCAGAGGAGAGTACAACAAACTGGGATTATGAGCTATCTTTCAAGAACAGCTTTGGCAGTCAGTGGTTTGGAGAGAGAGCAGTCAGACTATCCTGCTTAATAGCCGCAGGCAGATTTCTCCTCCTTGAATTTGTCTAATTCTTTTTCAACTTGTCTGTATTTGGCACCCCTGTCATCCAGCGGCAATCAGTTCCACAGTAATGATGGTGTTTGGCGATGGTGGTGGGGAATGTTTCCTTTGTTTTTTCTTAACCTGTTGTTGGTAATTTGCTTCTGTGCTACATCATTGCTCTGTTACGTGAAAGAAGAAATATCCATTGTCTGTTTACCATCTCCATACTATTCACTGGAGACCTCTCGTATATCTTGCTTCATTATCTTGTTCTCTAATGATTAGGAAAAGTTTTCCTTACAATAACCTATACCATCTTTTTACTTTGTGTCAGATTATTTTAGGAAGTGAGACAACATTTGCTCAGTATACATCTTCAGTTGCTGTAACCACGGCATGAAGCGAGCACTGTGTACGTAGTTTTCTTCAGCAGTATGCAGAAGAATGAAGATTTGGCAGTGGAGACAAAGTTTTTCTATCATTAGCAGAGCAATGACTGTTGCGCTCAGAGCACAACTTGGGCCAGATCTCATTTTTCAGGTTTTATACACGTAAAACACACAGGGCAAGTGTTTAATTTTGGATGACCAATTCTTCTACCTTCAGATTCATTCAGTAGGAGAGCCATGATGTAATAAATAATTATGGCCATAAAAATATAAACATTTAATGATTTTTCTGACCACTGCATGTTTAACCCGGAATGCAACCTTAGCACCGCAGTAATAACGAGCATTCCTTTTCATATGGGCTATCCATGAAGATTAAAATTACTCTTGCCAAATTATGCCGAGTAGAAATTGGACTAAACTCCCTGGTTTGCAATTGGGTTTCTAGCCTTTGCTGAGGAGGAGGAGGCTGGGGAGGAAATAGAAAGAACTGTCAGTGTCTCCTATCTCCTTGCAGGCTGGCTCTAAAACCTCCATTTTAGTGTGTGGAACTGCCCTGGATGCGTTACCCCAGCCTTCACTGGCGCAGCTAACAATTCCCATGCACACCACTGCTGCCCGCAGTATGTCTCTCGGCTCGTATACAATATATGTTTGACGTACTCTCAGACCAGACCAATCTGTGAAATAGAAAGTACAGTTTTAAGATATGTAGCAGCTCTTAAAAGGTTTCAGAAAGAATGATGCAAGTGATATCTGGTTTTCAGCTATCCTGTGTCACCTTGGAAAAACGACGGTTAATTGGCTATTCCGATGTACATTCAGTGTGCACACATGCTTATTACTTGGGGCACAGAAAGCTGAAAAGCAGATCCTTTTAGGTTGATGGTTTGAATCAGACATATTGTAATGTTGAAAGAGTTCATCATAAAACAACTGGAATAGCTTTAGTTATGTAGAATTAGAATGTCAGTTCTAAAGCTTCCAGAATAACAACTTATAAGTGCCCTTCCTGCCCCGTAATCACTGCAAATCTAGGAAGACAAGAGCTGATGATGAAAAATTATCATGGAGTCTAGACAAATGTTACTTGACTGCATCCGTCCGTGCGAGTGTATCGCAGGTGACAAACCTCTGCCATACCTTACGATGTAAACCTACAGCCACCCACAGCCCATATAGCCATATTCACAGGATACTGAAATTACTGACACCTTGATTGTTATAGCTCATCAGCTTCATCAGATTGGGGCTTCTCCCGAAGAATCTTGGAAGGTCCATGGGAAAAGGAGGAGGAGCAGGCAAGGAGAAGAGGGCAAGATTTCAGAGGAAGGCTAGGCGAAACTCTGTCGTCATCCTTTTCTTTTTGTATTTTTTTCAGGATCCTGTATAATATCCTACTCCTTTTATTAGCTTAAAAATTGCACAGTCAATCTATAATGTGTAGTTAAAAGCAGTTGTTTTCAAGAACAGAGAAGCAATCAGAAATGATTTTGCAATTTTCAGGAATCTATTTTGGGGAAGTACTATTCAATTACAACCTATTCTTGTTCCCACTGAAATCAATGGAAGCTTTGTTACTGATATGTGTATAGATACAATTTCTGTGTGATTCATAGAAGCAAATTTTACCAAAAGGCTTACTCAAACACTCTTTATCCAATATCTGCTTTCTCCAATATCTGCTTGGAAATACTGTTCTGTTGGTTTTCTATGTTGCTCTTCCACAGCTTGGATCTGACATGGAGAGACATGCAGCATCTGACAGTGCTCACCTCCAAGAGGAACCAGCTTCACGATGAGGTTCATCAATGGCGTAGAAATGGCGTTGGGCTGGAATTCAACCATTTGTTCGGCTACGGTGTCCTTGACGCGGGAGCAATGGTTAAGATGGCAAAAGACTGGAAGACTGTTCCTGAGAGATTCCATTGTGTTGGAGGGTCAATACAGGAACCTGAGTAAGTGAATGGTCTAGTTTATGTGTTTGGCTTCTTCCAGGCATTTAGGAGACCACAAGCATGCAAATACGTTGACAAAGACATAGATAGTGAAAGAAACATAATTAATTTTTCTTTTTTTTCCTAAGAAAGCCCAATGTTACCAGTAGCATTCCAGATATTTCAGTAAGTTGATAAAATAAATGACATGATGTTTCAGTTGTGGTTGGCTGGAGGAGTGCATTCCACAGCTCAGCTTTGCTAGAGTTGGTAGCAATAACAGCAACATCCATTTCTCCTGGGCACTTACAGGTACGTTTGTGCCAAAGTCGCTGTGAATAAAGAGCCTGTGCACAAGTGAAAATCTGGGAGGCTGGCACTGTAAATTATATAAACTGCTGCCACATGAAATATCTGTCAGCCAGGTCATATTTCCTTGTGACATATTCCAGCAGACAATTTTATCTCCAGAAGACTGAAACAATCATCTAGAGGTACCAGTGATTCCGTTTGAACACTACAGCATTTAATTGTGTTTGGTTTATGTTCTTCAAATCTCTAATTGCAGGCTAGGTAGTCAAATTATTTTCTGATTTACCTTCATGTGCTAAAGTGAATGAGTCAACAAGTGAATGAATTAATACTAATTGACTGCAACAGCTATAGTTCAATTTAATTATTTGAAATACTAACCTAATAATGGCCAGTTTATGTCTACACCATTTGAAATTTGGCTTTTCAGTGCCATTTTTGAAGGCATCATTATTCTATTGGAAAAAGAAAGCAAACCAGTGTGCCACCCTGCCACGTAGCTCAGCCAGGCAAAGAGCAGGTTGTCCTCCAACCTCCCAGGAGAGTTTGTATTTGCGGGATCCAAGGTTCTACAGCTGAGGTCTAAGTTCTAATTTATCTGGCCTATGCATACTCACAGGTAGGAAACAAATGAGAGAGTGCTGAAGCTAATTTTGAACTATCTCTAGTTTATTCATAAATTAAATGCAGACAAACAATCTCATTTGTCTTAGTGCAGCCCCATGTATTGAAATAGGGATTGTCCTAGAGGAAGAGAGAAAATTCCCTTCTGAAGGCTTGGCTCCGGGCATTAGACAGTATGGTAGAGGTATCGTGGCAACAGGCTGAGCCAGAGTCAGGCAAGTGCTAAGCAGTAGTATTGTCTCCTCCTGCCTTTGTCTTTCTGTCCCGTTTCTGCTGTTGAAGAGATAGAAGAGCAGAGGTGATGGTGCATTTCCTCCAGCCCAGGGATCCGGAACTGCAGTAAAGCTTCCCTATAGCTGTCGTTGCCCAAGCTGCAGTGTTGAGAAATGCGCTGCCATGCGCTGGTGTCTTTTGAGAGCAGGTCCCAGAACAGGCTTTGTGCTTACAGCACGCAAAGTCCAACCAAGTCAGTCACCACCTAGGCCTCCTAACTACTGTAGTGTAATCTCAGTCTGTGGTCTGTATGGGTGCCCCCCTGTAATTACCTGACCCATCTCTATGTTCATAGGACTGCTGTAATATTTACAGCCCCCAATGCAAATGTCACTGACAGGAAATAATAAGCATCATGACTTGCAATATCTACATTTTTTTGAATTACACTGTAAGTAAAACTAGTTGAGTCACAGCGTTGCCAGAGAGTCCTTGGAAATGAAAACTACGCCGCACTTCTGCCATGGATAATTGGGTACATTTTCTGTACATATTCTGTATATGTTTATATAAGTATAGATATTTGTATATATACAATACATATTCAGTATAGATTTGGATAGGTGCATAATTACTACAGAGGTGTGAACCAGAGCAGTACTGTCAATTAGCAGAAATGAACCTGGAAATAATTGACAGCCCAGAATATACAGTGTGCTGAAAGCAATCAGTACTCAAAGTGCAGCGTTTCTTGTTAGCAAGAGGAACTCCCCCTGAAAAGGGATTCTTGTTGAGTCAGCAAAAAGAAGAAAGGAAAAAAAAACCTGACAAGTCTGAATCTGGCTGATTCAGGGAGACACAAAGATGATTTAGGACACCATAGTCCATTAGTTGAGGAACAGGAGCACAGGCGTGTGCTTCTAGAGAGCTGTTGGTTACCTCCCCCTGCTCATCTCTAGCTGAGTACTACACTGTGTGCAAAAGTGAATATATATCTCTCTATATATATCTCTCAGTCGGGCAGTGGCACGCTGTGGATGGTGTGGAAAACCCATCTTCTCTCCTGCTCCTTTCCTGTCAGGCTTTTTCCACCATCCCTGGTTCTTTTATTTCTTTGGGGAAATTCACCTGGACTATAGAAATTAGTGAAGCAGAGAGTATTGGATCCTAATTAATAGGAAAGGGGGAAAGAGAGCAAGCCTTTTCTCATGTGTTTTAGAGAGCCGAGAACTTTTGCACTGCAGCACTTAAGAAGGTGGAGAGAAAAGCTGTCTGCGGCTGTCAGGCTGCCTGCACAGCCCATGGAGTGGTAACGCTGCTCTTAGTTGTTTGGGTTCTGGGGTTGGGAGATGGAAAAGACTCACACTGTGTTGTCCTCCCTCACGTACTAGAGGAGATATAAAGCATTTATCACAACTCTCAGAATGAAGCACTGTTTGACAAAGCTGTGTGAGAGTGCTGTGAGACAAGGTGAACTCAGACTGCTTTGAGGACGGTGCTTCCCATGCAGAGAAACTGCGTGGGGCAGCTGTGAGATGATGATCCTTCACCTCTGGCTCCATATAGTGCATTTTCCTTGTCCTTTGGCACACAAATCTTGAGGGTATTATGCATACAAAGGTTATATTGAATGCTATACAATATTTATGTTATACCAGCTTCTGCTCCAGGGCATCCGTAAGATTCAGACCACCACAGATTATTTCAGTGTATGGTAAGTGTTTAAATGCCTGGAGGACCTGGACCTGAATGTCTTTTTACTCTGCAAGTACTCCCAAGACGGCACTACTCCAGGAAAGGGAGGGGGGGGGCAGAGACTGGCCTGAGCCAATTAGTGAGGTACTAGGCTGTGATACCTGGAGCTCATCTCAAGAAGCGGAGAATTCCTGGAAGCTAGGTTTGAATGAAACGCTTTCGCTGGTCTCTGAAAAACGCACTGTTTCATTAGCAAAGGGGAAAGGCTGGTACTCATTTCTTTTGAACAGAAGGTATTCGTTTCCACAGTGTGGTCAATGCCCTTTCAAAGGGACTCTCTTTCTTATTTTACTGCAAAACCTAGGTCAGGGAGAAGCTACTGGAAGAGGTAATGACAAGCTGATGGAAGTCTTTTGTGACTTACTCCTTTTTTTAATGCTTCCAGTAATTCTTGTCTTTCAAGTACTTTAGAGGAAAGCATCACACTGCTCACAGCACGCTGATGGTGGAGATGCTGAGAATTTTGTTTCCACTTCGGTGCAGTTTGCCAGGCAGTTTCTGAGGCAGCTGGTAATTGCCAGGCGCATCCTGACCCCGAGGGGTTTAGCAGGCACTTAGCACCTTGGCTGCCAGCCGGGCACCAGTGCCCTGGCCCTACGCTGGGGTCCCGAGCGGGACCGCACACTGCACAGCGCATTTTCCTCCTCTGCGAGAGCTGGGACGGCGGCGATCTCCCTTGCGCAGGAACTGAGCCCGCAATCCATCTGCGGGTGTAGCTTTCTGCTTACACCTGGGACAAACGGCCTTCACCTAATTGTGAGTTTGCCTTCATAAGGGCTGACCTGTACTCACCAAACTTGTGTGACTTCGAGGTGCAGCACTTTGGCAACTCGGTAGACAAATGCAACTTCTTTCCTCTGTGTGCATGTGCCTGATTGATAGGAACAGTTCAAGGATAGCAATTTTAATGGAAAAATATTTTTCAAATGAGCTGAAACAGGGATCCTGTGTCCGTGCTGGCTTCCAAGTCGGAACAAGGGTGTAGGCTTGACTGTGACTGCGCTGACATTCTGGGCAAGGGGCTCCTCTGACTCCAGAGAGCCACTTGCTGCCATCTTTTAAGGTGACTGACATGACTGACTGCTCGTGGTTCTACTGAACATACATGTTATGGTGCAATTATTCAATATAGTAGTGATAAGTAAAGGCAGCTATCACATATATGTTAATAGTTCTTAAATAGCAGTATGTACTACTTAATGGTACTCCGTCTCTCTTTGTGCAGGTGTACATACATTTCATCATGTATTTTCAAATTAAGGTTTTGACATCATTTTCTAAATGGAGAATGTTCTTTTTCTGGCTAAGTTTTCAACTATTATTTTCTTACTTTTCCATGTATTAATAACAAATATAGTACGGGTTTTTCTGTCAGGCACCAAAACCCCATAGTTTTAGAACGAGCTATGTCACACTGTCCATGTCCTTTTAATTTGCTTCATTATCTTTTGACCTGCAGAAAGATACCACCAAGCGGCAAGCTGATCCTCACACTTACAACTGATGCTTGTGAGGGGAAGGAAAACTTTGTCCGATACCTTGAACACGTTCAAGCAGTTATAACTGTGAATTCAACTAGGCGAGGAGACCTCAACATCAACATGACCTCGCCGATGGGAACAAAGTCCATTTTACTGAGCCGGCGTCCCAGGGATGACGACTCCAAGGTGGGTTTTGACAAGTGGCCTTTCATGACCACACACACTTGGGGAGAAGACCCCCGCGGCACCTGGGCTCTAGAGATTGGGTTTGTCGGCAGTCTGCCCCAGCGGGGCGTGCTGAAGGAGTGGACACTGATGCTGCATGGGACTCAGAGCGCACCATATATAGACCAAATAGTAAAAGATTATCAGTCCAAACTGGCCATGTCCAAGAAGGAAGAGCTGGAAGAAGAATTGGATGAAGCAGTGGAGAGAAGCCTGAAGAGTATACTGAGCAAGAACTAGTGCCGTTCTGCATGATGGTGTCTGTCCTTCCCTGGGTCCCGCTATTCACCTTTCTACTATCCAAACCTATGTGTTAGACATATTCCAATGATTGTCTCTGTAGCCAACTTATCACACTTTCTTGATTTTAAAGTCTTAGTATCTCATCAATAATTATTTTAATTACCACTGAAGCGATCCTTTTTTTACTCTAAACCACAAATATACTATCCCCCACCGAATACTATGTACAGTTTGTGACTGTAAATGATTTTTCTTTTGTGTCATATGAATAGGTAATAACCCGCAAAGAAGCCAATGGCTTTTTCCCTTCATATTTTTGTGGTAAATGTTGTTTGTATTAAAAAAAAAAAAAAAAGAGTGAATTTTAACATTGGCAGTTGGTGATAATGGGCACATTTTTAAAAATCATTTTGAGAGAGGGAATCACAAAGAGTTTGGCTGGAGAGGTCTTTGAACGTCTAACAAACAGCTCCTTCTGCATCATTGACTTCAGTGGGACTCTTCCCATTGGGCTCAACCAAAGTAGCACTGGACCCTACAAAAAGAAATAACCCAGAGATGAAGAAAATTTACCAATTTGCAGAAATCCAACTCAGTGGAGAGTTTTAATATGTACACACTTGCAAAACATACACGCTAACACTTCAGCCACAGAACGGTTCCATAGGCATGCAATAAGGAAGGCAAAGCAATGCCAAAGCCGGGTGACACGGGGAAGTGCTTTGCAAACAGGGTCAGGGCATTCTAGAAGCACAAGTTTCCATTTTGGTTTGTGGTTTTCGTTTATTTTTGGCAATTTAAATCAATTTACCATCTTAGAGGAGCAGAACGAGCACATTGGGAACGAGCTGTAGGATTTCTGGCAACCCGTGTGCAAAAGTGCATCTGCTCGTCTCTGTACCGAGATGTGCTACAGCAGCGTGGGATGAGGCTGCGTCAGCATTTCTGACCACAGACCCCCCCCTGTTTTCTGGGGTTTACAACCCGGCTGTCAGTAAATTACTGTGGGAGGAAATTTGAGGTACGCAGTTTCAGTCCCAAAGCAATTTTTTATTCAAATTCCATTTTTAAAAGTAGAGATTTGTTATTTTTATGTTATACAAATATATTTAAGGAGAAAAATATGCCTAAGTTATTAATGTCTAATGCAAAGTTGGCCTTCTTGGGAAATAAAATGTAGTGCATTTGGGAAGATTCATTGGTAATTATTGCTCTTTGCTATTAAAGAGTCAGTCCCACCTTCACTTTGCATCCATGAGTAAAGTCTTTCTTGCCCTTGGAGTCTGCTCTGGCTAGTGCTGCAAGACATAACATTCCCCTCGGTGGGGATTACTCATGGTAGTAACCACTACATGGTCTCAGGTCTGAGATCCCAAATTTAACTGTTGAATAATAAAGGGTCTCGATTCTGCAAATATTTACACACTTACTTACAGTAAAGGCCATCAGTGGACCTACTCAAATGCTAATTTTAAGCAGGTGCTTTGGATCTTTGCAGGATCTGAGATGGACTTTTTAGCAGTGACTAGTTTCAGAATTTTATCATGTATTTTTTTAATATGCAGAGTATTCATCTAAAACATTTTTAATACGAGTTGTCCTGGTTGATCAGGTGCATAGTAGAAACACATTCAGTAAGTAAATATTTATCTAACAAATTAAAAAAGTAACCCAAAGGTTATATGGTGCACACATTTCTCTTAAGAACATATGATCTATGCTGTTATTTCTAGTGAAGATCCATCTTTTATCTTTCTGTAAGAGGCCTGTTCTTTCCTTTACAAATCCAAATGCAAAATAAACACCTCAACCTACTCAAAGTCTATGTGCATTACACTCTGAAGCCAAGACAAGCAGCCTTGCACTACTCACAGGTTCTTCGTGTGCAGCAGTCCCTTCAATCAGGTCACGCTGGGCTAGACAAGGCATAATCAGGCTCCACCTGGTTTTTATTTTTGAAGTGCTCTTGATTAATTTTTCAAATATATTATAGTGCCAACTGTGTTTAATTTGGTGATTTAAAACTTAACCCGAGGATGAGAGGGGCCCATTCCGTGAGGCACGAGCCAAAACTCGCTGAAGTTAAATGGGTTGGGGACAGGTTTGCTTGGCTCTTCGTTCAGAAGTGAACGGATCGCGCTGATGGCAGTAGGTTTCCTTGGAAAGCACCCAGTTCTCAGAGCAACGTATACATATCGGGGGAAGAATTTACTTATATATATATTTATGCATACACCTGTATGTCTAAATATATGCAGCATACGTGTGTGTGTATATATATTACATACAATATGTATATTCAGAGTATGTTACATATATTTGCTTATATCTAGAATTACATATGGTATGTAATGTATAATACATATGCGCACATCTTTTTTTTTTTTTTTTTGTGTGTGTGGGTATGTGCTCAAAGAGGAAACTGGAAGCTTTTGAAGGACTTCTAAAAATGTGGAAAAAGTTTTGGAGTAAGGAAAGTCCATGTGGAACCCTTAAATGAATGTGTACATGACTTCCCATTGCATTCATGTAATTTTGCAGTTCTCTGTTCAATCATTAAATATCTTATAAAGCAGCAAAATAACTAGATGGTTGTTCATATTTTCATAATGCTGACATAATTTATTAAGTGAAAGCTCACGATGAGTGCTATACAGAAATGGTGAGTTTTGATAGAAGTATATATAAAACTAAGTGTATATACAATACAGAGATCTACTTCAAATTCTTCAAAATTTTTGCATCGGGGATTGCTGAAAAAGTATGTCCAGTTAGACTAAGTTTTTATGGTATTGCTGATGGAAAATAAAATAAGGTTAATTTGTTAGTGTTTATAATAAAGGAGAAAATGAAGCTCATGATTTGAAACAGGTGAACACTGTCTAAATAAAACCCTGTGATGTTTTATAATACGAGTAAAATAAAGAGCTGTTGTAAACTGTCAGGTCCTATCATCATTGCCTATCCAAAGGCACCCAGGAGGTAATTTGCCGCTCCCAGTGGGATGACTTCCTACTCCTCTCCTTTTTACACTGATAAAGAAATTTGTATCCTGTGTCTGCTGGGTACCGAGAAAATAAACACAATCCTCCAAAAGAGCTGATAGCCACAGATGAAGAGCAACAGGCTTTATGTTAACACTGTGATACAGTGGGACATAGAAGATGAAGGACACAGGCTAGGAAGAGCCTGGGGCATTACTTACGTGGTTCAAGCCCACTGCCTCCAAGGACAGCTCTGCAGAGGCACACAGCGATGTGGGTACCAAACTGCTGCCCGCGGTGGGGAAGGGGATGCTCAGGGAGACAGATAGTAACATTTCTGCACTGCAGTCCATAAGCCGTTCTGGCCTGAGGAAATACTACAGCAGGTGTTTTTCTCTGCTGATTTGAGCATTCGGAGCCACCAAAAAAAAAAACAAACCACCAACCAACAAACAAAAAAAATCCACAAACCCAAAACAACCACCCAAACTACAACACACCCCCCAAAACCCACTTCCCAAAAAAACAACCAACGTACTTCCTCTTCTGCCATGCTTCCCATGCACATGTTAGGTTTGTGTTTTGTTTTTTTTTTTAGCTCACATGCTTCCATGCATAATGTGGGGGGGTTTTGTTGTTGTTGTTGTTTGGGGTTGGGTTTGGGTTTTTTTGTAATTATTTCTTACCGCATCTGCAGCAGTGAAAGCTGTTCAGGGAACCTCCTGGTCTGGATCTGTGCGCCACAGAGGCAAGAATGCGTCTGTACTGCTGAGTAGCTGCTCACACATATTTTACTAAGACACTTCAGCATTAGCATGTAAACACTTTGTTGAGAATTTACATTTGAGAATCCACATTTAAGGCAGAAGTTAGCCCATGAATCATGCACTTTACCTTTCAGCATTAGCACTACGAACAATACTAGTAGTTTGGTGGTTTTTTTTTTTTTAATATATAATTTTCACAGACATTTACAGAAAGGTGCCACCAGCTGCAGCCTTGCTGGGCAACCGCCACATTTGTGGAAGGCAGGTCAGTGATCAGAGCTGAAGTTAGGCCTTAGCTCCTCGTGGTCCCTGACGTCTGCTAATGCTGGTGTCCGTGATGCTTGGGTCAAGTCTTGCACCTCAGCATTGCTGCCTATGCAATGCAGTAAGTAAGTAAGTGACTTAGTAATACATGCCACTAAACCTGCTTTAGGAGTGATATTTATAGAGCCCAGCTGCTGAACAAGGTGTACAAACAGCAGAAAACTCTCAGCAGCAAAGAGTGGTGACACCACAGCACCAAACAGCTGAAGGTGGTGGGGGACATTCACACCTTGGCCACCTCACCCAGGCTCTCCTGAAGTGGTGCCTCCTTGCCACTGACTACGGTTCTTTGAGGTCTGAACATTACGTTCTCTGTACTGCAGTGGAATCAGATGGCGGGGGGGCCGTGGGGGTACTGTCTTAGTTCTGGCTAAGTCCTGCTTGAATCCGTTTACATCCTGTTTTGTGACAGAACTACTAACCACACTGCCTGTTGCTGCAGGGTTTGGGGTTTTTTCACTTGCAGTAGTCAAAACCTGCTTTCACTAGCAGTTATTCTGAGCCATTGCTCCCAGCACACCAGAGTGCAGCCTGCATATGCATTCGTGAGTTCCTTCTCTGCGGTTATTTACACTGTTAATACATCAAACTGAAAAGCAGCACACACCCCAGTAAGCCATGTCTGGTGCATACTCCCACAGCATTTCAATAAAACAACAACATCAACAAAAAAAATCCTGAATAAAAATGTGACTATATAGGTCACCTGTCCCTGTTTCAAAGAAGAAGGCGCCGCTTTACCAGACATAATAGATTAGATACTACACCTGCACTGGAACTAATGAAAAAAACCCCAATACAATAGTGAAGGAAAGTCTCAGGTGATGGGAGAAGGTAGTTGTGAAGCTCAGGCTTGTCAGCTCAAATGGCATTTAGTCGCCTCCTTTGCAGCTGATGGAGTAATCAGCCAGAAGGAAAAGGCATAACAGTGCTGAGAGATGGAACGGAAACTTTGAGAAGTGGGATAGGACAGGAGAAGGAACAGGCAGAGCCCAACCTAGCAAAGCACATCAGTATGTACCTCACTTTTTAGTGGGATTATTTGTATGCCTGAAGTCAAGCTGAGGCCTAGATGATCAATCAGCACTTTAAATAGTGCTCAGGGTTCACATGTACACAAGTGAAGGATTTCTTTTTTTTTCTTTCTTTTTTCTTTTTTTTTTACTTTTTTCTTTTTTTTTTTCTTTTTTTTTTCTGAGGAGAAATTTTCTGGGAGCTGCAAGAGGCTGTTGCAGAAGTGTTGCTTTTTGCTTCCCCAGGCGCAGGGACATAGGAAGGCACCGCTTGTTCCAGCAACCCTGTGGAGCCCTGCAGGCTGCGCTAGGATCCCCTGGCAGTATTAATCTCTGCAAATCGCTACAGTGCAAGGAAATACTTAACAGGAAAATACCAAAACACAGAGTCTTTTGAGTTCACTGCAGTCTGCTCAAAAGCTTGTTGGCATTCATAAATACCTTAGTTCTGTTGGTGAGGGACAAATAATGCCTTTGTTATCTTTTATAAGTTCAATAATTCATAAGAATTTCAAGTTTTATTCTTAGAAGATGTGCAGTAAGAGCTTATTTCAAATACAGAGAGTTTGTCTTTAGGTCGAAAAAGAAAGGTCTGCCAAGCTCATCTCTATTTTAAGACTGTAAATGAGAGATATTTGAAATAGATTATTTAACAGGCATCCAGCCCTTCCCCTGGAAAACTCCTGCACACCGAGTCACTTGATGTTTACTAGTAGGGGCTGTTAGTCAATGGTCAAGGCAACACAAACCCACAGGGGGTATCTTCGGTAGAAGGCAAAACTTTTATTAAATGAATCAGATGTCACAAATTAACATTTGCAGCTGAGAGATTGGGAATCGTACGGCAGCTATAGGAGCAGTAGAGGAATACGCAAATTTGTCCTGGATACTGTGGAAAGGCAGACAGCTCTGTAATGATAATTACTTTCAACTTGTCCTAATCATGAAAAATCAGCTGCATAGGATGTGCCTACTACTTGTTGCCCTGGAGCACTCTAATGGTCATTGCACCAAAGGTGAGCCTACATCAGACAGAATGGCCATCAAGGTATCAATCTGTTCCATACCAAACAGCAAAAATCTCACTACTGTATCATTCGGTCAGGAAAAAACCCAGTCATTTAATAACTATGCCAGACAAGTTGACTATCAAGGAGGGGGGGGGTGTCACTTAAGAGCCTGAGCCTTTGTCACCTGGTTTCTTCTTGCTTGTCTTCTCTATCATTGTCTCCACAATCATCGCTGTCTCTTCGTACGTCTGAATTCTGTCATCTGAAAATTTCTCGATGGACTCCACCACCTCCACCTTCTCGTAGCTCATGGAGCCAGGCAAGCCTGCTTCCCTGAACAAAAGGCTCTGCTTATCTTCTCGGTCATATTCTGTCTCTCGAAGGACTCCTGGCTCAGTTGGGCTTATCAGGCCAGGGGAAGGAACTGTCTCAGTCTCAGAGATGTCCACATACTTTGTGATTTGCTCAATTTTTCCTCTTGTTTTTTTTCCCCATTCAAGTATGTCTTCTTTCTCTTCCTCTTTCTGTTTTTCTTGGAGTTCAAACTCTTCCCTCCTTTCACAGATACCCACCTTCTCTTTTTCTGATGGTTCAGCGTTGGGCTTATCAGGCCAGGGGAAGGAACTGTCTCAGTCTCAGAGATGTCCACATACTTTGTGATTTGCTCAATTTTTCCTCTTGTTTTTTTTCCCCATTCAAGTATGTCTTCTTTCTCTTCCTCTTTCTGTTTTTCTTGGAGTTCAAACTCTTCCCTCCTTTCACAGATACCCACCTTCTCTTTTTCTGATGGTTCAGCCGGTTCTGGCAGGACACCACCGTTCATCACCTTCCCGTTGCTGGTGGAAACAGTGATCACTCCCCCAGCTGGGATGGAGGGGGCCAGGATGCAAGGTTCTTCATAGCCTTCCTCCCCTGTTACCCGCACATAACGCCCATTGGGATGGGCATCAGGTTTAGGCTCTGGTCTCTTGTAGACTCTTATTTTCTCCCTCACAATGTTACACAATTTATCGAAGGCTTTACTTATCCGGGCTCCATCAGGCACATCCTCTGGGCCTGTCTCTTTTTCATCAAGTTCTAATCCTTCCTGCCCAGGTTCACATGTGACTGGGCCTCTGTGCCTAAACTCCAGCTGATCTTGGTCAAAATCTTCCAGAGTTCTTTCGTACATTCTCTCAGGCGAGAGACCATCAGTTATGTCTTTAGACATCAGCTCCTTTTTCCTGGCAATTTTCTTTGTCAGAGCTTTTTGTCTGGGCTTTACACTGGTAATGTCTTGCATGGCCTGGGTGATATCTGGGGAAAAATCAAAACAAAGCAAACAACAAACAGTGCTGAACACAGTCGCTGCGAATGCTAGACCTGCCTCGCACCCTCACTGCTGCAGGTGGAGAGCTGAATGCAGCAGCAAATGCGAGCACAGCTTCCATCAGTGCATTAAACAGCCTCTTCTTTTGCATGGGTCCCCTCAGCCAAGTAGCCATTTTGCATCTGAGGTGGCCACTGCAATACGCAGTGTGAGGACAGGACAGAGAGGTTGTGGATGCCCCCTCCCTGGAAGCGTTTAAGACCAGGTTGGATGGGGCTTTGGGCAATGTGGTCTAGTGGAGGGTGTCCCTGCCCATAGCAGGGGGGGTGGAACTAGATGATCTTTGAGGTCCCTTCCAACCCAAACCATTCTGTGATTCTATGACAACTGTGCCGCACAAAACGTTCACCTGTCAGGCCTGCATTAATGCTCAGCAGGAGCGCTCAGCACCATCCTCCCAGGCATTGTGACAAGGTTTGGCCCTGTTAACCAGACAAGAAACCTTGTCTCCTAAGGCAGAGAGTGAAGCCAGGTGCCCAAAGTTAGAGGCATGGCCTGGCAGTAGGACTAAGTTGAAATAACTTGCCTGGCTTTTACAACTCCTGCTGCGGTTTAGGGAGGAAAAAACACCCCCAAAGCCCTATTTAAAACCTTCCTGCAGGCATTGTGACAAGGTTTGGCCCTGTTAACCAGACAAGAAACCTTGTCTCCTAAGGCAGAGAGTGAAGCCAGGTGCCCAAAGTTAGAGGCATGGCCTGGCAGTAGGACTAAGTTGAAATAACTTGCCTGGCTTTTACAACTCCTGCTGCGGTTTAGGGAGGAAAAAACACCCCCAAAGCCCTATTTAAAACCTTCCTGCTGAACCAACTCTTCCAGCACTTCCGAAGAGGGGCTCAGCAGGGGGATGCCTTGCCTTTGTCCCAGGGGGACTAAGAGTGAGCCAGGCACCTCCCCTCATGGCAATTTTGGCTATGGGCAGATGCAGGGAGCTGCATCAGGAGGGAGCAGCGAGCGGCTGGGGAGCACAGAGCTAAGCAGCTGCCCAGCCAGCGGTGCGATGCTGCGGAGCAACATTTTGGCGTCACTCGAACACTTGATGTTGAGCTCTATGCCCATGCAGAGGGAACCCCTGCCCGCCGGCTGTGTTTCTGATCTCCCAGGCAGTCAGTAGCCACAGACTCCACGGCAGCTCAGCAGCAGCAGGAGCACGGGCAGGCTACTGATTTCCATGGCATGAACAGCTAGAGCAGAGGAGGCAGAGGTTGGTACTGAGAATTACGGAAACAAGGGGACAGACAGATATTAATATGCTTTCCCACAGGCAGCTGTTTTGTCCCATGTCCCAGGTATAGTAACGCACACAAAATGCCCTGTTCGCCTTGCAGGTGTGGTTAGAGATGGGCCGAATCCTCAGCGGGTGTAAAACAACACTTTGCAAGACAGTAGTTATTTACAGCTGCTGAGGATTTGGCCTCAGGCATTATGGACTCATTTCATAATAAAACTGCTACAGTTCACAGAGCAGTTGTTAGAAAAATTACAGCTGCACTCCAAAAAAACCCTCACTTGACTGTTTAGCTCCATTCTCAGGGCAGTTTGTTGTTATTAAAACCCCAGTGAGCCCTGGATTTAAGCTACAGTAAGTTATCCCAGATGTTAGAACCTAGAGCACCTTTCTGTAAACCAGCACTCCTCTTTGCTAGAGAAGCCTTGCTAGTTTAGTCCTGGCCATTTCCTTGCCACCAGGTTTACAAGCATCCCAATTCTAACAAGCAATCATACAATGTGGAGGAAATACCATTCAGAGGAAACCGGGCCATGGCACAAAAACAGCTCCAAAAAAGTGTCCTCTGCCTGCAGCATTCAACACACCCTCTGCATGTAACTAAAGTGTGGGCCAATGACTCACAAGTCAGCACAAAACCCTCAGCTCTTTCCATAGCTTCAGGTGCCTTTTGACTTTGCCCTATTGATTGGCATAAGTAGTAAATTGCAGAAATTAGCAAAGAAACTCTTTTGCTTGTGGTTTTGGCTTTTGACAGCTTGTCCCAAAGCCAGCTGAGGTAAGCTGAAATCGCTGCATTTACTTAGCAAGCCTGGAGTCAGGCTGTCATGGCTAGTGTTCGCATGGAAGACAAAAGTAAAACTAGCTTAAAATACAATGATGCTGCTCTTGACAGACACAGGAAGACATGACACAGGTTTACCTCTTCCCCTCGAAGCCTGAGGCTGGACAGGTCTATAGATCTGTGTGAAGAGTGTGACTGGCGTTCCTGCTATAGCAGAGTTTAACCTGCCGGAGAAGACACGCATCGGTCAGATCTCTCCCCATCATTTCCATCGAGAGCAAGTGAAATTGTGCAAAATGAAGCATGGAGGTTAAAGAAATGTATTTCTCTGTGGTGAGGAGTCAAAGAGAATGACAGGACCCTGTTTCTTGTCTGGGGAAAATCAACACTGCCACAGCACCTTCGCAGGAGTTCGGCTGGGTTCCATCAGCAGGAGATGTGGGATGCTCCATTAGGTAAAGTACACCAGTAATTAAAACCCATAGCAACAAGTCTGTACTTTAGCACAGCACTTTGAAAGGATGGGAAGATTTTGGATGGGCAAACAGTCAATCCACGCCTTTCAGAGGTTAGTAAGATCTGTACAGTAAAATAGGAAATTTGGTAGCCGTTACAATGTTATCTGCACGTGCCTGACTTCAGAAGGGCAAGAAGAAAACTGAGCAGTCTTCCTTGGAAAATATTTGAGGAGTCAGTGCTATTAAGGGTTAAAAATTAAAACCGAGAGGCTAGCCTATATGCAAACCATTTACTGTATCTGTGGCCTTTCCAGTCTGCTCTGTCATAACTTGAGATATTTTGGCCTCTAGGAAGGATATACATGCTGTGTAGCTATGCAAGAGAAGCACAATTTGATTTTTGGTGCCGAGATTTTCCTGATCGGATATCCCTAACCAGAACGCAGCGTCCAAAACAAGACGCTGTAAATTGATGAAATATCTGTTCCCCACATGTGAGATTGACTATTAGTGAGTGTCCTTCCCCTGCATCTTCTGGACCACCCAGAGGAGCAGTTTGGGAGCTCAGGAGTCTGGCCCTGCTGCATCTGCCTGCACAGGCAGCATGGGGCACTGCTGTGAAAGCCCAGCTCCTTTTCTCGTGTGAGGCTGATGGTTGACATTAGAGGGAGCCAGCGCTCCTCCGTAGATTTAAATGCAACCCAAATCACTGCAAATTTCTTGTAATCTACTCTTTTCCCTCCCACTCCGTGCTGTGAAGAATGCATTGCTTTACAGGACAGATGCCCTGTCTGAGCCCTGTGAGACCTACCTGCCTGTAACACCTCAGCACGCTTCACTAACACCCGGTGGCGGAGAGAGCATTCAAATTGCTTTCGTATGCTCCTGACCTCTGCGCACTGCTGCCAGGACAGTATGGAAAGGAATCTGTATGGAAAGGAGAAGCTCAAAATGGCTCTGACCTTTTCCCTTGGCAGAGGCTTGACCAAATTTTGCATCTGTTTAGATTCATGTCCCTGGATATCTACCAGTGAAAGGTGTGAAATGGCCATAGCTTTGAGTGGATCAAATGCCCTTAAAAATACATTTTTCAAAGAAGATAAAAGAGATCACTGGCCCCTTTGGTCCTGAAATCCAGCCTTACCTGCTGTCCTCATTCTCGATGATACGTTTGTACCGTTCTAGCTCGTTCTCCAGGGACTGCTGGTAGATCACCAGCTGGCGGCAGTCAGTCGTGTACTTCTCCAAGGTCCTCTCGGCCTCCTCTATCCCCTTCCTCAGGTTTTCAATCTGCTCGTTGTAAAGCTGAATTTCATCATCGTAACTCTCCTGGGTGTTTTTAATCGCTTGCTCCAGCATGGTTGTCTGGTAAACAAAATTGGTGGGTGAAAGAAGCAGCTCTGAAGCATTCAGCATCTCTGTATATCAAGGGTAGTTAAAGGCAAGACGTTTTATTACAGTGCATGAGGCTACACTGCTGAACACAGCAGCAGTTTCACTGCATTTGTTTAGTTACGCAAAACCAGTAACTCCTTCTCCTCTCCTTATCTATCCCAAGGCTTCTGCTCCACTATAACCATGACAGGATCA